ACTTGAGGTTCCCAAACTGTACAGTGTCAGAGGCATTTCAGGAAACTCAGAGGGGTGCCATGAAATATTTTAAATTTCTGAGGAAAACACAGTAATACTTGACACCTGTTATGCCATGTGAACTACTATCTCAAGGCAGTTGACAATTCTGACATTAGATCACACCACATTCCTTTCACAGATGTCTTATCTTTGCAAAGCTGAGTTTTCGCAGTGATAAAAAAACAACAAGCATCTCATGAAAATAAGTGTGGAACAGGAAGTGAGGGTGGCAGTGTTCAATATGATCCCAAGCTTTGAGAAATTGTGTCTCACAGCTGTACACATCTCATTAGTTAAGTAATTGTACTTATTTAAGATTAACATAAAAATATTGTTTTCTTTCAATTGTGTTCATTACTTTTTTCGAATGAGTACTAAGTTATTAGGATATAAATATTTAAGTTGTTTGAACCTACCTACTTAATAAATGCAACTGTTGGATATTTCTTTTGGCCTGGAGAACTGTGAAATATTACTGAGACACTATGGATGCTATGAACCAAGAAAGTTTGGAAACTCTGAACTACATTGTTTTGGTTGATAGCAAGTTCTCCAAAAGTAGAGATATTCAAACAGATGTTTAAAAATCATCTGGGGGCCGGCCCCGTGGCTGAGTGGTTAAGTTCGCGAGCTCTGCTTAGACAGCCCAGGGTTTCGCCAGCTTGGATCCTGGGTGCAGACATCAAGCCGTGCTGAGGCAGCATCCCACATACCACAACTAGAAGGACCCAAACTAAAAAAAATATACAACTATGTCCTGGGGGGCTTTGGGGAGAAAAAGGAAAAATAAAATCTTTAAAAATCATCTGTGAAGATACCAGAGGGCCTGCCTTCAATGCCTGAGAGGCTAGATTAGATACTTGCAAAGTCTCTTCCCATTGAGATTCCATGATTTGAAATGAAGATGTCCAAAAAGGATGGAAGGGAGAGGGAAAGTAGACACCTGCCTCAATGAACAGTAAAAAAATCTATAGCTACAATTCCAGAAAAAGACAAACTGCACATAGCAAGGAGTTGCCACACATGTTCTTACACCTTCCCATCTCATTTTTTTTCCACCTGCAACAAAGGGAAAATTGGGGCCTTTGCTCCAATTTTCCCTACATATGTCAAAATGCCTTAACAACTTAAGCTTCACAGAATTCCACATGGGGAGATGTGGAGTTGATGTAGCCAGTGCTGCATATAATCAGGGACCCAAAGCACTTTACGCCTTCCCCATCTGTGCTCTGATGAACAGGTCCATGCCTAAGCACACCCAAGAAGATCCTTGGTTACTCTGAAGTCTTGTTATCTGTCAAAGGCAAAATGCCAGGTTGAATCAGAGACTAGAAGTCACCCGATTAGCACATTTAAAGATAACATGATTGTTCTGGACAATCTATAGAGATATAAAATAAACTTTAACACCTGCAATTTACAAGGTAAGATTTATCACTATTCCAGCTCCCAAGAAGCCCTGAAACAAAAATCTAAGATCAAAAAACGACAGGTGTCTCTGCACTATTCTAGTGTTATTTCCAGTATTGATCAAATCTAAGATCAAAAAACAAAAGGTGCCTCTGCACTATTCTAGTGTCATTTCCAATACTTCTCCTTCAAAATACTCAGCATATCTGAATTTGTTTAAAATCTGTCCTCATCAGGAGCTCCAGGATGGAACAGATGGTGTCTGTCTTGGTCAGTTATATTCCTCCAGAATATGGCTGGCTGACTGACTCAGAGAACTACAGTGGGCAGAGGGATACCCCTACTTTGGTTGTTAGCTAGAATTAATCACTTCTTTCTACAGCCTTCATCCCTCCTAGAAAAATCTAGTGGGTGGGAAAAGAGAAAATATCTAATAACTTATATTGTAGTGGGAGACTCTGGTCACAACAAATACACCACCAAGGAAACATCCATCAGTAAGGTGAAGGCACGTCGTTCCTGAACACTGTTTTTTTGAGGAAGATTAGCCCTGAGCTAACTGCTGCCAATCCTCCTCTTTTTGCTGAGGAAGGCTGGCCCTGAGCTAACATCCATACCTATCTTCCTCTGCTTTATATGTGGGATGCCTACCACAGCATGGGTTGCCAGGTGGTGCCATGTCCGCACCCAGGATCTGAACCGGCAAACCCCGGGCCGCCAAAGCAGAACGTGTGCACTTAACCGCTGCGCCACCGGGCCCAGCCCCTTGAACACTGCTTTTTAAATTTGTTTTTTTTTAAAGAACAGAAACCCTTTCTTCAAAGAAAATCTTATAGAGACCCCAATATATAACACAGTTAAAAAGACAGTTGCTTTGGTTGAAGCAAGGGAAGAAACCCAGAGCCCTGCATCCTCTTCAGCCTCCCCCTCTTCCCGGGCACTCCTGGGAACTCAGGACACTGAGAAGCAGTCTGAAGACTGCTGGTCTAATATAGTCTCTCCAGGGTCCTGCATAAGTCTAAAATGCAATGATTCTAATCTATCAATTTCAAGTTAAAACTCCACTAAAACGTACCTTGCTAGTCTACAGATCTGGATTTATAGTGAGTCAAACACAGCAATGAATGTTTTTCTTACTAGAATGCTACAGTCAAAAAGTCAGAGTCTCCTAATCTCATCTCCCAGACTCATCTCAACAGGGTCTAGGCATCAGCTCCTATGAAAAACCAGAGACAGAAAGGAGAACTGTGCCTTCCTGCATAGACCGTACAACCGAGCATATGCTATCAATGAAACCACACAAAACGTGCATTGAGGAAGGCAGCAGCACCTTATAAAACAAAAAAACCAATCAGACTGAATTTGGGTATGGCAGAAAAGGCACCAAGGTAGATCTTAGTTTACCACATTTCCACTTCCAGTTAGTTTGAACAACCCATTCAATCTGTCTAAACATCAGTTTTTTTCATATGATGAATAAGGATATCTAAGGTCCTTTCCAGCTCTAGAATTCTATGATGCTAAACTAACACCATTTTTTAAAGTATGTAAGGTGTTCTAAACTAATAAGGGTATTTATACTAACTTGAAAGAGGTCATCTTCAGCAATCAACATATGTGGCTCAAAACCACCAACCAAAAAAGAAAAGTTACTGAAATCATGAACTAGTTTTCTACTCAAATCTTTATTTCACAAGATTTATGTTTCACAGCAGGAAGAGCAGCTCAATCATTTTTGAGCACTAAAGTCTCTAATCAAGGCAGGCAGCATTAAAAACAATTCTCTTTGAGAAAGGAAATGCAAATGGAAGCAAAACTAATGTGATAACTGTTCTCTCTTTGGTGTTAGTTGGCTTGTTCCATGAATGCTTTTTTCACACTCCAGCCCAGTGCTGCAATAAATGTCAAGAGTCACATCTGTCATGTGCACAGCACTGTGTTGGATGCTATCATCTGAAATTAAATGAAAACATGAGACTACAATTTTCTGTTTTCCTTATCCTCCAAACTCTAATTGGGAAAAAGTGATGTGACCTAGGCAAAATACAGTTCATTTTTCATTAAAGCAGGGACACGATACTTTTTTTTCAAGGAAGATTAGCCCTAAGCTAACTTCCACTGCCAATCCTCCTCTTTTTGCCAAGGAAGACTGACCCTGAGCTAACATCAGTGCCCATCTTCCTCTACTTTATACGTGGGACGCCTACCACAGCATGGCTTGGCTTGCCAAGCAGTGCCATGTCCGCACCCCGGATCCAAACCCGGGATCCGAACCGGCAAACCCCAGGCCGCCAAAGTGGAATGTGCGCACTTAACCACTGCGCCACCAGGCCAGCCCAAGGGTCACAATGCTTTTAAATCACAACATGATCTCAAAAAATACACACTTTAAAAACACACATTTTTTCAGTCAGACGTATAAGACTCAACTAACCCTCCTTTGCATCCACTATCTAGAATGTAAAAGAAAAAATTCAAATCCAGTAATATCGGAGACTGATTCAAATAAATTCTAGCTCATTCTGTGGGCTAACACTCCCCCTTAGACAGAGGGCAGCTCCTACTCCCCTGTGTATAAACATGAGCCAAAGAAAACAAAATTTAGTGATTTTAGTTTACAAGAATACACTTTTGTTCCTTCTCTGCTAATCTGTGCTCACATAACTTCACCCTGTGCTAATGAAAGTTACCTACTTGCTGAAATTCAAGTTACCATATCAGTAGGCTCTGAAAGGTGGGATAGCATGCCACTTATGTACTAGTTTTTATGCTGAACCACTAGCTGCATAACTCAGAAAGGAAGAGAGAGAAGGAGGGAGGAGGAAAGAGAAAAAGAGGAATAAAGGAAAAAACACAATGCAATGCTGAGCAAGAGGAGATGGGCTACCAAGGCAAAAATATTACGTAAAAGGCAAAAATTTACTCCACAGGAGGAAGTGGCTTCTTGCCTGTAAAATGCATTAAACAACAAAAACTAAGTAAACCTGCTGCTCCTTGGAATCAATACTTTTGGGTAGGTGTCTCTTCACATCTATACTATGCTTTTCTATTACCCCTGAATTCTTACCTGATGAACACAATCAATCAATGGTAAGGAACTCCATCCCCCTAAAGTAAAAATATTATATTTTTGCGGGAAAATTCCATTTAAGGGCTTTCCTAAAGACCACTTATTATACTTAAACCTGTGTGAGCCCACCTTATTTCAGACAATGATAGAAAGAAAGAGATTAGAACGTAGATGAGAAAAAATATTTTAGGTTAATTTCTGTGAATTCAGGTAGTGTTATTAAAGTAGTCAAAGTATGTTTAGTAGATCAATCAGAACATTCAGTTATACAGTTTTAAGCTTACTCATTCCAATACAGGTTTTCTATAAAAAAGAGAAAACCCAACATTAATTGTCAAAATCAGTACTTAACGGTTCGACATCTACAACAACATCACAATGCTGGTGCTTGTATTCAGCATTCCTACAAAGCTCTAAGAGGTTTGAAAGGGAGACCCTGTAGCAGATCTCTTCTTTCTACATTTTGCACATTATGTACCTCCAAAGCCAAGGCTGTCTTGTCGTAGGCATTAGGGACTCGCTTCTGGATTACCCTGGCATAAATGGGCCCATTCTGGAGGTTAGGGAGCGGAGTGTTGACGCTGGGTTGGGCATAGGGCCCGGGCTCCGGCCCACCCAATGGCTGTGGGTGGGAACCCTCCTGGTTACCTCCAATCAGAGCCGATACTGAGGCGGAGGCAGGTCTATACTTCTCGACGTAAGGGACTGGAATCATCCCCCTCTTGCCTTCGCTGTCCTCCGCATTCCACCACTGCTCTTCAGGCTTATCCCGGATTCTCAGGATGTCTCCTTTCTTAAAGGGAAGATCTTCTTCATCATTCCCATTAAAGTCAAAGAGGGCTCGCACATACTCTGCCTCCTCCTGCCTGAGAATCACTCCACTACCCTGCCTGGATCTGGAAACTGGTTCTATTAATGTTGTAGTGTCCAAATAGTGTATTTTGTAGAATTCCAGTAAAGCAGGCAATGAATCAAACTCTTGATCGCCTATTCGGAGTCTGGAGGTGCTCATTCCTGGAAAAAAACAGAGAAGGGTATTATTTAAAGATGTATTACACTGGAGATGAAATGCAGATTTTTTAAACATTTCCCACACAAATTTAGTCAATATTTAATCAGGAAAAAAAAAATCAGGAAAAAATAACCCCTTCTCTTCATAGTAAACTCAATCACATTTTGTAGCTGAAACATCTCCCGAGAAAGATGCCCATCAGCACCTGCAGCAGAGAAGAACAGGCGGCCATGGTAGACCAGGTCAGTCAGGACATGCTCCCACACTGGATCGGACAAAGCAACAGGAGACTTTCTGTTCATTCTCTCAAAATGCTCTATTGCTATCTCACTTACAGAGTAGTACAAGGTTAAAGGTTTTCTTGCAATCTTCTTTACAACCTCAGGAAATGTAGCAACCTCTCCTTTTTCATACGTTCCAACAGCTATCCCAGGAAGACATGGGAAGAACTTGGTATCTACACTAGGCTCATACATTCCTTCTCGTCACATCTCAAAATGTACAATTCCTAAGGAAAAAAAGTTTTAAGTCTATCTTTTTCATCTATGATTGCTAATCTCCATTTCATTTCTGACTGCCAAAAAAAGCTTAATGAAGCAAAGAACCAAGGAGCCTAAAAGGGGAAACTAAGAAGCTAACTGTTTAAAAATCAGTTCCTAAGGTCTTCACTTAAAACATGGAGGGGCCAGCCCCATGGCTGATTGGTTAAGTTTATGCGCTCTGCTTCAGTGGCCCAGAGTTTCACTGGTTCAGATCCTGGGCATGGTCCTAGCACTGCTCATTAAGCCATGCTGAGGCGGCATCCCACATGCCACAACTAGAAGGACCCACAACTAAAATATACAACCATGCACTGGAGGGCTTTGGGGAGAATAAGCAAAAATTTAAATAAATAAATAAAACATGGAAACCAGATTGCTCCCTTAGAAGCAAACGGGTCATGAAAAAAGGTAAAGGAGGGTGCTTGGGAAAATGAAGAAGTGTTAAAATCCTCAACCTCTGATAACACAGGGTCCAAGGGAAAGACACATTAGGAATGCTTAAAATTCACATGGCACAAAGGTGTGTGTCTCTAGACACAGGGCATACTTCAGAATGTTTTCCCTCTCTATGCTGAGACTCCAGAATTGAAGGATAATAAATGAACGTATATAGGTTCAAAATAAGACACACAATTTTTTTTTTTTTTGAGGAAGATTAGCCCTGAGCTAACATCTGCTGCCAATCCTCTTTTTTCTGAAGAAGACTGGCCCTGAGCTAACATCCGTGCCCATCTTCCTCTACATTTTTTTTTTTTAAGATTTTATTTTTCCTCTTTCTCCCCAAAGCCCCCCAGTACATAGTTGTCTATTTTTAGTTGTGGGTCCTTCTAGTTGTGGCATGTGGGACGCCGCCTCAGCATGGCTTGACGAGCAGTGCCATGTCCGCGCCCAGGATCCAAACCAGTGAAACCCTGGGCAGCCGAAGCAGAGTGCACGAACTTAACCACTCGGCCATGGGTCCGGCCCCCTTCCTCTATTTTATATGTGGGACGCTGCCACAGCATGGCTTGCCAAGTGGTATGTAGGTCTGTAGCTGGGATCCAAGCCGGCAAACCCCAGGCCACCGACGTGGACCAGGCAAAGTTAACTGCTGCGCCACCTGGCCCGCCCCAGAAACACAATTTCTAATGAGGAATACAAACCTTTAACTTACACTCGGCTAAGCACCCAAAATATCAAATCATCTTTATTGCACTTTATACTTTTTGATTTCCAGATAAAGTAATACATAGCTTTACAGAAAACTGATTTTTGTGGAGTTTGTTTTTTGTGTTTTTTAATCAGACTTAACCCTGCCACAGGACACTCTTAACATTTTGAGTTATAACCTCCTAGATTTTAATATATATGTATATGTTTGTGTGTGTATATATATATATGTGTGTGTGTGTATGTGTATATATGTCAATAATATATATACGTTTTTATAACTGGGTTACTATCCATAGTTGTCTATCTTGTTTTCCCAGTATAACATAAAAACATTTTATTTTATACAACAAAAATTTCCCCATATTCTTCAAGAACATGACTTCTAATGGCTATAAAGTACTCCCAACTTTTCACTAGTGCAAACAATGCTGTTGAGGGTTTTTGTTCTTATCTATTAATGAACATTTTTTATTACTTCCTTAGGATGAACTTGAAATGCAATAGCTAGATCAAAAGGTAAGAACACTAAGGTTTATGTTGCCAAATTGCCCTCTAAAAAGTTTGTACAATTTTATACTCCCACCGGTGGTTTATGAGTTCCCATTTCCTCCATATCCTTGCCAAAACAGCATTTTTTAAATCATTGCCAATTTAATAAGGAGAAATGTTATCTCTTTTTAAATATCATCTTTGATTGTTTGATGTTTTTCATATTTATTGACTATGTGTACTTCTTTTGTGAAAGTTACTTATTCAAGTCCTTTGTTAAGAGAACACAGCCAATCGACCCTCTCTATTCCTACTAACACTGGCCCACTCATCTAAAAAGCCGTAGCGATTAAGGCTATGAAATAGGAACACTGTGGGAGCCCAGTAGTCTAAATTAATTTGCCACTCTAAAAAAATGGAACCTAATTATTCCGTTCAATCTTAGAAAACACTTCTTACAGAATGACCAGAAAAAGTACATTTAAAATTCACTACTGGGGAGATGTGAAAAGATAAACTTTGGAAGTTAATCAGACGTCCTTAATACAGAACGAATACTGATGAGTACCTTCTCTTTTCACCAAAATAAATGATGAGACACCAAGACACAATTTAAAGGACAGTTACACATTTCTTATATTGCTAAAGTCCATCTGTGGAATTCATGGCTGAAAGCTGTTTTAGGTTAATAGCACACACTCAGTAATGCTGGTTCTCTTTCCAACTCAAGACGCTGAAATAGATGCCCAGACCCAGGACTGCCCATCTATGGCAAACACTCATCAGGTACCAGCAGAACACAACCTTAGCTCCAAGTGCAGGACTGGAGAGACGATTTTGGTTAGGACCAGACCAGAAAATGGTGGTGCTATATTCTGGAGTTTCTCTTCACTAAAGTGGATCACTGATGGAGAGTCATTCTTAGTCAAGTCTAGTAGGCAAGGAGATGCATGGCCACCCTGCCCACCACCAAGTTAATTCAGTGATCCTTCCGGCCAGCAGAACCAGGTTGAGGACATGGTCCATGTGAGTTCCAAGGAAACCTACTTAGCACTGCCTGGTCAAGAAAGCCTCCAGGGCAGAGTGGTAGGGAGAACCCTCACACCCGCAGAGCACCCAAGACTTAAAAAAAAGGTCCTGATGACACCTAGGGAGAAAAGCTCCCTTGTTAGAGTTTACTCAACTACACACTAAGGTTCAACAGCCAAAATGGTTTTCACTAGTCGCCTTTTTGGGACAGTGGTTGGCAGACAGTAAGTGCTGAGTTAAGTGTTAGATATTTTTCTTAATGAACCTAACTCTGAAGTGAGGGAAAGTTAAATGAAAGTCTGTTCCCAGCTTTAAGAAGCTCACGGCATAGTTGGGCTTACAAAGGCAAAAGAGTGTGGTTGGTGAGCGGTGGGGAAAGCAGAATGTCTTAGGAGGACATTATTTTTTCTCCCCTGGCTTTCACTTTCAGTTGGAGAGGTGTTCTTACAGAAAATAGTAGAAACAACAAACTGTTCTCCAATACAACAAAATCGCAATACAAGAGCAGCTCTGACCATCCCTAAACATTTCCAAGGGACTCTTCACTCTAAGAATGAAGGCAACCACTCCCTGTCATCCATTGTTACGGTTCCTCCCTTACTGTACTAGCCCAAGTGAAATGTGTTTTTATGGCAGGGAGGACAGCATTTACAAAAACAAGTAAGACCACTAAGCCAAGTCCCTTAGAAAGATCAGTGAGAGAATTCAGAAAGGAAAAAAACTGGTAGCTCATGTGCCATAAAGGTGGGAAGTTGGTTCAATTCATTTCTTGTTCAAATGCTGCATGGTAGCAACTGGGCCCACTAGGATTTTTTTTCTTTTTTTTTTATTTTTGGCTGGGCAATCCCAACAGATACAGAAATACAAGCAAAACACCAAGGAAAATCTTTGACATTATTTTACCTATAAATTCTTTTTCTATTCTAATGACACTATAATAATTCCACAGAAGAGCTGTTTTTGCACACTGCTGGGGCAGTTAGATATATGAGGAAATAAAGCTTTATTGATCCAAACTCCAGAAGAAGGGAAAGGAGAGGAACAAAACACATTAAGTCCTACATAAGCTCAAACCTCACCACAGCTATATGTTCCAGCTCCTTTTCCCTAGTTCATCTCCTTCCAACCACAAACAGCCAAAGGCAGGAAATAGAAGGGCGGGAAAGGAAGGAGATACAGTCAGTGAGTCTAGAGAACAGAACCCACGACAGAGTTCTCAGAGCTGGGACTTGGAAAAACTCACTGACTTGTTCTAAATCAAACCTGTGCTGGATTCGCAAAGTGCAGTTATGAACTAACACACTCAGAAATCAAAATCAATGCAAGCAGTTAGCTATCTCTACATGTATCTGTACGTGCTCAACTCATTACTTCTAAGCGTTTCAGGCCTCGGGTTACAACAGTTTTTACAACACCACTCCCTGAAGGTTTTATGAAGACCCAAGAGCTCTGTGGGCTAAAACAGGCCAGGTCACTTCCAGCCTGGGTAGCAACACAGGAACTCCATCATTAGCCTCTCCTTGATCTTCAGCACTTCCTCTTCCCTTAATTCCCACACTCTCTCTTCCTTCTCCTCTGCCTATGGTATTCACAGAGGTTGCTTAGTAAACACTCCCTACCACCTGTCCGCTAAAAAGAGGCCACTGACTTCCACCTGAAAAGGTATCCTAAAAAGGTGTCAAGATGCATGGTCTCCTAAGCAAATAAAACTGTAAAAATAGTGGATATGAGCACAGGACTTTGCAGATTCAGATTGAGTGGGTTTGATGAATTCTGGCTCTGCAATGTACTAGCTGTATGAGCTGTCATTTAGCTTCTCGTGGGGCCAAATACCTATCTAAAGTTCCTAAAAGTAGGAGCTGGGCTGGTGGTGCAGTGGTTAAGTTCGCACGTTTCACTTCAGCGGCTCGCGGTTCACTGGTTCGGATCCTGGGTGAGGACATGGCACCGCTCATCAAGCCATGCTGCGGCAGGCATCCCACATATAAAGTAGAGGAAGATGGGCAGAGATGTTAGCTCAGGGCCAGTCTTCCTCAGCAAAAAGAGGAGACTGGTGGCTGATGTTAGCTCAGAGCTAATCTTCCTCAAAATAAAAAGTTCCTAAAAGTAGCTGATAAATTATAGGTGCTCAACAAAAAGCAACTTCAGAGGCCAGCCCCATGGCGTAGGGGTTAAGTTCGGCACGCTCCACTTTGGTGGCCTGGGTTCACAGATTCAGATCCCAGGCATGGACCTACACCACTCATCAGCCATGGTGTGGTGGTAACCTACATAGAAAGTAAAGGAAGACTGGCACAGTTGTTAGCTCAGGGCTAATCTTCCTCAGGAAAAAAAAAAAAGCAAATTCAGTTTAATATCCCCCCAAACCTCTGAATTCCTTTAGAAGTTTTAAATTCATCCCAAAGTCCAGAATCTGCTGCACTATTTCCCAGAGAAAATTCACAGAACCTCAAGATGCTTCTCAAAAAGTTCTGTGGTCAGATAGATTTTAAAACCCAGTATCCAATACCTGTCTCTCTTGGAGGGTCATAATTTTACAGGAGCATAGTAAAGACTTGGAGAAGTCTCATAGTAAATAAGCCTACTTCCTTTTACTGTGGAATTTTTTTTGGTGTAAAATCCGTAAGTAGCTCACTAAAGAACTTCTCTGGAACCACTGGACGGAGGGGTACTCTGATACTGAAGAGTAAGACACAAGGACCACGTTTGTGAACTGCAAAGAAGACGAAGTAAACAAATGACACAGAAGCTGAAGGTACAAAAAGGTGGCAGTGGGTAATCAGCAGTCCCACAGGATCTCCAGAGAAGTGGCTGGGCCCAGTACCACTTTGAAGAGGCAGCACAATTACCACCTTAGCCTCTGCTCCCCAACTCCCCAAAATGAGGCAAGCTTTTATGCTCTCCTCACCCACTAGGGCAAGCGGTGGGAGGCTCTGGGTTGAGCAGGGAACAGCAGGCGCCACCCCATTTCCATGTACTGGATCCAAGATCCTTTCACACTTCCTGATGCACCCCACCCCCCTCCACCCTGGCACTTACTCCCTAAGACATGCTGTTTCACCAGTGCTCGCCAACCCACCCCACACATGCCTGTGAGCCTCTCAAGCTGAGAACAGATTTCCATTTTGCTCCAACTCCTCCCCACAACCTCACAGTTATGTTCATAAGATTAATATATCTAATATTTACTGAGAACTTATGATATGCCAGCCCTACCCCTAAGCATTTAATACACTAAAACTCATTTAATCCTCACAACCTTCTGAAGTCAGTATTACTTTTTCCCTCTTTCACAAATGAGGAAACTGAGGCAGAGAGACGTTAAAGAGCTTACCCAAAGTTACATAACTAGTAAGTGGCAGGTAAGTAAGATTCAAATCCAGGCTCCAGAGTTCAAGCTTGTAACTACTCTCCCAACTTGGTCCTTACTCAGTTTTGTCGACTGTCTACTGGCCAAAGTCTAATGATAGCTCATTGTTCCAAGAGGAAGAAACTAGAGGGAGAAACTAGGACCGCGAAGCCTTCCCTAGAGGCACAGCTAGAGGTCCAACCTGACAGAGCACAACCACGACACTTGACCAACCGTGCCCTCCGGCCCTGGGGCACAGCTAGGGCGTTCCCAGCCATGGCAGCAGCAGTAGCCTGTGGGAGTTAAACACCTACAGTAAGTTAAAATAGACTCACTGGAAAAGGCTGAGAATACCTGGTCTATTCTGTCCCTGTCTCTAAAAACTACATCTAAGCCATTCCATACAAATTCTATGTATTATGTCCACAAAACATACTATATAATCCTAAGCAAAAAGCTCATTTTTCCATACTCAATTTGCCAAATAAGGATTTTAAAAGCCTCTTCAGCATTGACTTTTGGATAGCAGATGTATATTGTCTGAACACTAAAGCGGGTTTCTTTTTGTAATCCTTTCCTTTTGGTTTTTAAATAGAACCTGTTATCCTAGGACAGAGACAAAAGCATTCAGTCCTCCACGTGCACTGCTGAGATCTCAAAACGAAACTGGCTTTGACAGAAAAGAGTACAGTGTAATAGTGTCAGCTCTCAGCTCAGAACTCTTAGGTTCAAATTCTGGCTCAGTCATTTACCAGCTGTGTGACCTTGGGTAAATTACCGAATCTCTGACTCTCAGTTTCCTCATCTATAAAATGGAAATATCTTAATAAATGGAGATCACAGGACCTTCCTCACTAGATTGTTACAGACAGTAAATGAGACAAGGCACATAAAGCACTCAGCAAAGTACCTGGCATAGAATAATCAAGTCAATAAAGGTTAGCTATTAATATTGTATATGCCTTTCTAAAATTCAAAAAAGTCCTCCGTGCGGTTTCAAAAGGAAAAGAGCTTGATGGAGGAGGGGGAGAACAAAGAATAAGATATCTTTATAACGACAGCAACTGAGTCAATTGTCCTATGTGAAAAGAGGGTACATGACACAAAGAAGAATTACCACGATGCCCATGAAGGTTCCACACCCCCTCCACAAAGTCTGGCAATCTTCACCTTCTCTCGTAGGCCAAGGATCTGAACTCATGTGTGTTATGAAAAGGTGGAGCTCAATATCCAGGCAGGCGCTGACATATAAAGTCATAAGCCAAGGTATGAAGAAAGCTCAAACAAACCTGCCTGCTGCCATTTCCAAATTTTGCAACCAACAAAACACATACACATACAAAAGGGTGAGAACCGAGCTTCGGTGACAGGTTGCCATCATGTCACTGAACTACAACACAAAAACCCAGATACCATGCAGGTGGTAAAGAGTAAAATATACCTGGTTTAGGGCAAATATATGTTACATCAGTATTCCCATCACACAATATAATGCTATTAAACCAACTAGACTGTGAAAGATCCAGGACAATTTGTAGACTAAAGATCTCACACTCTTTTTAAAAATTAGTGTTAACAACAAAGAGACTGACTATCCCCCCATTTCTGGCCAGAGTGAATAAACCTAAGTTAGGGCTATCCTAAAAGGGCATGTCTGCAAGGCTGGCTCAGGAGCCTCCTAATTCACATGAGACTGGCTTGGTCAGGAGGAAACTGCTTCAACCTGGGAGCAGTGAGAAGGCACCAGGACTCTAGGCGCTGTCATGCAGATAACGCTAACCTCAGAATTACTCTGTACCTCGCAAATCTCAAGTACTATGTGCATAAACCTCCTTAGCATTCCCCAAACAACTCCCAGGGCATGGGTAAGACAGTCACACCTCAATGATCCTTGGCAAGGAAGACCCAGTGCAGATTAAATTCTCAGAGAACCAGCTCGGTGGGGTCTGTTCCCAAGATCTAGGAAGACACAGCCCACAGGCCCAACCTACTGAGCAAGGAGAGGCCCTAAAGTACAAGACCAACAATGTTTTAAGTCCAAGGAAAAATGAAGAGCCATTCACTTCCAGGAAAGGGATTGTTTCCATTGGGTTATTTCTGGTTTATTTCCTGAAAAAAATCTTTTCTCCATTGAACACTTTGAAAACTAGAACCCCTAACTGCGGAGGCCAGTCTCTGGACACTAAGCTCTCTGGGACACAGTCAGCTGGGCGTCAACTTATCCCGGGCTGATCGTAGAGGGCTTTCTTCCATCACCAAGGCACTTAGCTCACCACCTTCGTCCTCCTCGGGGGAAGAGGACGGTAAAAGTATTCTGGAAAAATGCCCAAGAAAGGAAAAAGCTGACCGGTTTCCTGAGGGTGTCTCCATCCCTCCCGGCCAGTATGCGGTGACTTCCTACCAAAGGCCACCAGGGGAGTATAGCCAAACCCGGCTCTCCAACACTGCAGGAAATGTTTCAAGCCTAAAAAGCCACTTGTAGGATTATCGGATTCATTCCGGGCACCGCTGCCAAGTGATGCCCCCGCAGTGCCAACATCCCCCTCAGTCCTTTGTCCCCACGTTGCCCGGCTCTGCCCTTGTGCCTGGCCCAGGCGCTAGCCCCACCCTGGGGCCGAGGCAGTTCCCCTTCCCCTGGGCTGTCCTCCCAAGTCACACCCAGAGGCCTGGGTCAGCGGCTCCTCCTCCCCCACGCACTCCCGCTCGTCCGCGGACCCAGCCCCGGCAGCAGGCTGCCCCCTGACACGGTCACTCCGGCCCTCTGCCCACGCCCCTCGTAGGGGTCAGCCCGCGAGGAGCAGGCGGCCAGGCTGGGGCGTCCCGCGGCCCTCACCCCCGCCCGGGGCCTCCCGTCCCGTCCCGTCCGTCCCTCACCGGGCGGAGGCTGGGCGGGCGACGGCGGCAGCGGCGGGCGCGGGCCGCTGCTGTTGATGATGTAGTGGGAGACGCGCGAGTTCTCGGAGACGCTGAGCACATAGTCCCCGGGGCTGGTGCTCGAGTCCCGCACCAGGAACACCCCGTGCCGCTGGCCCTGCAACAGCGCCACCGCCTCCTGCCGGCTCAGCCGTCCCCAGTACCAGCTACTCCGCTCCTCCGAGTCGAAGTTGCCCGCCATGGCCGCCTCCGCGCCTACACGCTGGGCCGCCGCCGCCGCGCGCGCCCCTCCAGCCCCGGCCCCCGCCGCCCAGCGGACCGGCTCGGGTCTCAGCCTCACAGCAGCGCCCGAAATGGCGGCGGCGGCCGCGGGCCTTCCCCACCGGAAATGACGCGCTCCCTGCCCCCGGGAGGATGCCGGGAAGGGGACCGCCGCCCGCCATTGGGAGAAGGGCTAGGGAAGTCCTTGCGTGCTCACTGCGCATGCGGCCTCATGAGCGTCGCCGCCTGGCGGGGACCGGGACTGCAGAGGATGGAGAGGCGGAGTGTAGGACCGAGGGGTGGGGCCTCAGCCGACAGTCCGCAGAGGTTTGTGTTTTCGCTGTTGGCCACGTGGTTCTTCGTGTCACCACGCTTCAAGATCCTGGAATGCCGGGAACTTCTAGGCAGCGGCTCCGACACAGAATTGGAGTTGAAAAGATGATATGGCCTCAGGGCCTGAGCTCCATGAGATGGTCTTTTTTATTTTTCCCTTTATCTCCCAAAGCCCCCCCATCCCCCACGTAGTTGTGTATTTTTAGTTGTGGGTCCTTCTAGTTATGGCATGTGGGATGCCGCCTCAGCATGGCTTGATGAACCGTGCCATGTCCGCGCCTAGGATTCGAACTGGCGGAACCCTGGGCCGCCAAAGCAGAGGGCGGGAACTTAACCACTCGGCCACAGGGCCGGCCCCTAGATGGTGTGTTTCTGATGATTCTTCCAGCTTCTCCCCAGGCCGGCTAAAGTTCTTGTTTTCATTGATTCATTCAGCAAACAGTTAGTGACACCACAATTGCCCTGCGGGTGCAAAGGCGATCAAGGCTGGGCTTTCCCCTCACCGAATTCCCAGACCAGTGGGAGGAACCAGGAAACAGTCAATGACAAAGGTATGACAGACAACCGACTAGGGGCTCCAGGAACATAGAGCAGGGCCCCATAATCGGGTCTGTAGAGGGATCCAAGAGGGCTTCCAAGAGGAGGTGGCTAGAACTGAATGTTGAATGGCAAGTGGGGAAGTGCATTCAAGACAACGAGAACAGAGTGTGCCAAGCCAGGTAGAAGTATGGAGTTCTCCTCTCTATTGAGGCTTTCAAGTCATCTGCCCAGATTCTTCTAAACCGCAGTGATGGCCCTGGGTGTGCTCTACACTCCCTGCCCTTATGATCATCTCTCTCTCTCTATTCCATACCTATATCTGTATTCCTGTGAACAGCCTGCTCACAAGTCCTCTATAGTCTTCTTTTTTCTTTTTTTGAGGAAGATTGGCCCTGAGCTAACATCTATGTCCATCTTCCCCTATTTTATATGTGGGACACCTGCCACAACATGGCTTGATAAGTGGTGTGTAGGTCTGCACCCAGGATCTGAACCAGCAAACCTCGGGCTGGGCCCCTAGTCCTCTGTAGTCTTGCTGCCCCTAACTGCATTGCAAGCATCTGCCAGTTGTCACTTTGTAAGTTACAACTCTGACTCTGCTGCTACCCTGTGTAAAACTTTTAACAGTCTCCAGGTGTTAAAACTCCCAGTTTAGCTCACAGCATAAAACTGGCCCACAGTCTCATCTTCACTTCTCCTACATGAACCTTGTGTCTCTTCTTCCTAGAATGCCCTTCCATGCCTTTTGGGATCTCAAACTCAAATGCCTCCCCTTTCCTGACCACCACATCGCTCCCACCTTGCATCAATAGCCATACATCCATATTCTCTCCATTACAGTTCTTACCCGTTGTGCTGTAATGGTTCATTTACAGGTCTGTCTGTGTCCCATGCTAGAGCTCCTGAAAGGCCAAGCGTCTAGTGTAGGAGACACCCCATAAATGTTTCATAATAATGGCTAACATTTATTCAAGGAGTCTACCTGCCAGACACAGTGCTAACTGCCTTCATATGGATCATCTCATTTAATCCTCTCAACGTTATGGGTTGGCATTTTACAACTATCGCCACTTTACAGATGGAGCTCAGAGAGGTTAAGTAACTTGTCTGGAGATACACAACTGCTAAGTGGGGAGCTGGAAGGAGAAGAGAGCTATGATCACTCTGCTATATCCTCAGACTTCTGGGATAGGAATGGCTGAGGGTAAGAGGTGGCGGGAGGATGGCAGGAATAGACATTTAAAAAAAAAATCAGTCAGCCCTGGGTTCTGGTCTTACATGAAAACACACCTCTTCTCGACCCACTTCACACACCTCTGAGCCTGCTCTGGGAAGGGGAGGGGAGCAAGGGCAACTTCCCTGCTGTGGGTGACTCATCGTGACCCTGGCTTAGTCACAGCCTGTCACCACAAAACAGCAGCAGAAGCTCCCCCGGTGTGAATTCCCACCCTTTGGGAAAGAGAAGTGCCTGTTCTTCATTTCCCCAGGCAGGACCTTGCCCAGAGACTGCCTGTGGGGTTCTGAAGCCGGGCCCCTAAGTCCCTGCCCTAGGGCACATGAACATGACAGAAAACGATATTTTAAAAGAAGAAAAAGAAAGAAAGAGAGAGAGTGAAAGAAAGGAAGGAAGGAAGGAAGAAAGAGGAAAGAAAGAAAGAGGAAGGGAGGGAGATAGGAAGGGAGGAAGGAGAGAACACATCATAACCGGAAAATAAGCAGGGAGATCGGCAAGGAGAGGAGACTCAACCCCAGGCAGCCACTCAAGTATGTTCTTCCTTGGAGCCTACAAACTCAGAGGCAAGCAAGGTGGGAACAGGAGCAGCCTGGCACAAACAGGAGGCAAGCCCGCCCTGCCCCTCCCTCTTTTCTCTTCTCCTCCTCTCCTCTTCATGCACCAGGATTTGCAGCTATAATGGTGGCCTTTGCCCCCTGATAAGCCTAAGTGCCCTACAAAGAATGTGACGTTCTTGCTTAGGAAGGAATCCTGGTGTTGAGGGGGGTCGGGGGAAGACACCTGAAGGACAAGCAGAGGTGAAAGGGGAAAAGAAAGGGAAGGCTGCCCTGTGCCAGAGGAAAACGCACCGAGGTCCTCCACTCCCTACCCTGCTAACCAAATAAAGGCGTTCCTTACTTTAGCAATGGAGGAGGAGCTGGGGTCGACAACCTACTTGCCTGCCTGCTCTGTGTTGCCTAAAGTGACTGGAGCTGCCTCATACAGCTCTGCAGGCAGGTTGTGCACTGCACAACGCCAGGTACTGTGTAAATGGAACCCTGTGGAGTCGGGCTACTCACACCCACTTTTCCTTTAAAAAAAAAAAGCAGAAAGAAAGATTTTTTGTATCAAAATGACAAAAAGTGCTATTTAGAGAGAATACTGACAGTATCGCTTTCCAAAGTGTGCGTAAGAAAGAAAGAGAGAACAGGTAGGCGCAATTTGTATTAGTGGGAAAATATACTTCTGCCCTGTTCTCATCCACGTACAGGGATGAGGGGAGAGGAAGGAGACAGAAATTCCAAGTCTGCTGGATTTGCTGGGCTATGAAAAGGAGCGATGCCTTACCTGCCAGTGGATAGCCCTTGGTTTGCAGAGACAAGGACCAGTCTTAAAATGTGCAAAGATAAGATCTGGAGGCAGACACCAGGGGAAAGGTCCGGGGAGGAATATGAAGGGACTCCAAGGAGGGTCTTTAGGAACCAGACCTTCCCAGAAAGGGCAGCGAGAGGCTCCCAGGGATGACACGCTGTAGGACTGTTGAGAACAAGCTATCTGCCTTGCAGCAATGTCAACCCCCCTTACCGCCCCCATCCTTTAGGAAAGCTGCTCACACAGATGCCTTTTGTGGGGAGGAATACAGAACGGGCCGACTTCCTTGTCTCCATCCTCATGGAGTTGAGAAAATCAAGAACATCTGAAGGTGAGATGCAAATATGCATCTCTTCTCTCCTCTTCCCCTTCTGCTTACTCCTCCCCGGCCCACTGACCTTCCTTTCTCCAACAAGCCCCCAAGCTCTGTACTTGCTGTTCCCTCTGCTGGATATCCAGTCACTCGCTCCCCTCCTTCAGCTCTCTGCCCCGATGCTGCCCCTCAGGGAGGCCCTCCCTCACCAGCCCATTTGAAACTGCCAGCTGCACATCCATCTCTCTCTCCCCCTTCTCTGCTTTATTTATTTTCCTAGCACATAGCTCCTAATCTATTACATATTTTACATATTTGTTTTATATATTGTCCTCTCTTCCCCTCTAGAGTGTAAGCTCCTTAAAAGCAAGGATTTTGTCTTTTTTGTTCCTGCTATATCCCAAGTGCCTGGCAGAGGGCTTAGCACATAGTAGGTGGTAAGTAAATATTGTTTGAATGAAGGAATGAAAAAATGGGGGTCAGGAGGCTCTTGTCCAGAGCCAAAATTAGCTTCCTACAATTGGCAAATAGCTCCTGGCGGGCACTGGACTTCCCACAGGATGGCAGCTGGAAGGAACCATTCTTGGTTACTTCTCAAAAGGACAGGGTCCTCAGCTGCATCTGGATTATGACTGTAACAACACTCTTGCATGCTGTCCAGTTTGCTAGAGAAAGGAGTGTTGTTAGAGTTATAAAGCTGGTAATTGCACCTAACACAATGCTTGTCTTATCTGTCGGCTTCTTGGAACCACTCTTACTACTGCTAGAGTGGACAAATTACTGTGGTGCTTTAATTTTTCTGTAAATTTATTTGTAGAGAGGTGTCAAAATCTAGGTGTGCTCACAAGATTGTGTCAAGCCCAAGAAGGTCATACATAGCATAGCCTGACCCCAAACTAAACCTTTTCTTGCCTTTAAGCCCTCCATGTGCTGTTGCTTCTGCCCACAGGGCTCTTGCTGCTTGGGAAAACTTTTACTCCTCTGCTGCTGAGTTCTGTGGTTGCAGCTTGCAACACTCATTCCCTTTCTTCTGGAGGCAACACTCTGATTTTCTTTTGGGAAGTCGTCTGCCCCAAGTCTTGGTCCTTGTGGTCAGGTGTGGTTCATGCCTCTTGTCTGGGGTGCGGGGGATGGGAGACACATGGCCCAGGCTTGGCAGGCACATATCAGCACACGCTCTTCTCCTTAACTACAATGATCCGGTCAGGGAAGAACACCTCATTCCAGCTGGCCCACTGAGGATTGGCTCAGAGACTTCCGAATTACTGGGAAAAGGACACTTTCTTTCTGCCTCTGATGCTAAACTCATAGAATGAAAGCCTGGAGCTGCTGGTGGCTGTTGCTGCCACCACACCA